GGGAAGGCCCAGACCCATGGGGCCCTTCAAGAAAAATCCGAGTCCCACCACTTACGAGGCCCAACAAGTAAAACACCGGACCCACTCGGTCCAGGAAATCGAGATTGAACTGCTTTTCTGCATCTCTGCATAAAACACGTCCACATTCAGGCATTCGATCCGATCCTCTTTGCTAATGGGACCTTGGCCCACGGGTAGTGAAGACTGTGCTGGAAACCGGGTCCGCCGTCCCATGGTCTGCAACTCCATGGGGCCTCACCCACAGCACCCCCCACTACCACCACTGCTCTCTGCAGGTCTCCCCCGCGCTGCACAACCCCCTGCGCAAACCCGTCAAACACGTTTACCGGCATTCACAGCGTGCAAAAACTGAACGCAAAACGCGCGTTCAATGAACGCGTGGTAACACAGGCCACCCCACAGTGTCACACTGGATCGACCATAGTACGCTCCATCCAGTCCTACCATCTTCCCCCGAACACAACGCACCCTCATTTTGACTGCATCGGACCGAAAAGACGGCTTGTATACGTTCATTTTCAGCTTGTGCTATGTTCGGGGGAAGATGGTAGTGTACCACCCTCCTGGAGCAGTGGCAGTCAATCTCCTGGGCTTTCGTTTTGTACACTTCTTTTTCAGAGACTTCCAATCAGGTGGAATCAGTCAATCACGGGACTCCATCTCGTGCTGGTGAATTTTGTCGATGGAGAGCCAGATAGATACCCGGAGCCAACACAAGTTACACAACGTAATCGAACCGGTGACCTCGGTCCTCGCAGCCGGATGCCTTTGACACTGTAACGGTGTAACCATGACCCTGAGTTCAAAACTGAAGCCATACCGGTCATGACACATTCAGCCCACTCGTGCAACCGTGCACGGTTGGACTTGCAAGTCATTGAAGTCAGCACTTGACATCTAAGAGATCATCAGCAACTGCCCTCTGCGGCGTCTGCGCAGACACCACTGTGGCCCGGGTATCCTCTCTTGGTAGGTTACTGCGCTCATACACTGTTGAGTCTGTTGGTAATTTTATCGATGTAGAGCCAGATCGATACCCGGAGGGCCGGAGGGTCCGAGCCAACACAGCGGAATCGAACCGGTGACCTCATCCCGTCGGCTCTTGCTGTTTAACAAATGGCATTTTGCTTGTGGGTAAACACCAAATGGAACACTGGGACCGTTTGCTAACACATGCTGCTCCCCAGGAATAGATCGCCGGACCTTATGTTTTGTGTGGAAAAAAAAAAAAAGAAGGAAAAAAAAACTTGACATTCTCATCATAGTTGAAAAAAGGGAAAACGTTGTAGATCCCCCCACGGCAAAACGGTTACCTCTGTATTTGATTGTTTGTCCCCAAATGGGGAAAACTGTGTAGTCCGCCCTCAAAAAACTCACTTCTGTTTTGCACCCGTTCCACGGTTGGTAGGACTGGTGGTGCAGCAGGGCCCGGGAAGCAAAAATAAAGTGAGAGTGTTCTTAGAGCAGACTGCACTATTTGCCCACTCGGTGGCACACAAATACAAAGGTTTCGGGCAGGGGGGCCACGGCCGAGTTCGGGCATGACCGCCTCCGGTCATGGCCGCTCCGGTCACGAACTCTGGCCGCTCCGGTCACGAACTCTCGGCCGAGGCCACGGCCGATCGGGGAGGGGGGTTGGGGGGCGGGGAGCGGGTTTCGAGTCGGG